AACGACTATGAGAAGGGGCACATACTACGGATCATCCTTCGAGTCCAAGATGCCAGCTCTACTGACGGAAGCGGAATGGCTAAAGCACCCATCTGGGGATTGGAGTTCTGCTAGAACCCTTACTGACATTAAATTCACTTTAGATGTCCTACATAACTTCAGGATTCCCAGTCACGTGGTTATCCACGGTAACAAACAAGCAGAAGCTGAAGCATCAGTTGTCAGGGATGCATCGGTCGTTAGACCGAACTCCTTTGCGGCAACGATGCCTGCAGTCTGACGAATGACCCGCAGGCCACAAATGACACATGAACGCGCCGAGGAACGTATACGCCCCCATCAACTGAGATGAAGAAGAGAGAATTACCCGGCTAGATAGAACGACTCTAGTGAGATTTAGGATTGGACATTGTCCAAAGCTGAATCACATCAGGAAGCGGTAAAATGTGACTGATGATTCCACCTGTGCAGCCTGTGGGGAGGAAGAGACCAAGAAACAGCTGATGGAATGCGCAGCCGATATGGTCGCCAGAGTTCAGGAGTTTGAAGTCGACTACGGACTGAGAGCGCCGATCGACATAACCGTCCGAAGACAACAAGTTGCAAAAGACCGGTATCTCAAGAAGATCTGAAAGTCGTGGTTCTAAAGCCACTAACCTTGCAATTGATCCTGCAATAACAATAACCTCCGCGAGTGAGTATGCAGTTTAACTACGTAAGCATGATCCCTACTATCGGACTTACAATGAGAAGGGAGTTTTCAGCTTGAACTGGGCTGCATTCATTTTTTTCATTGAAGAATACATTAAACTTACCATAAATCAAATGGTTTAAAGTGACGATTAAGAATTTTGCTGTTATATCAATCAACAGAGCGTAGAAAGGCAAAAGGACTGCTTACAGTAGATTGAGAGGCGGTTGTGTGTCCTCTAGTTCCTCTATCTCATACATTGTATGCGTTGACAGTGCTTCACTGGGCGACAAGCTGGTGACCCTCGAGAAGTCCTTCAGTCGTTTTAATTATCGAGGGAAGACGCAAATGTTAAGTTAGGAAGCTGTGAGCAGTTTAACGAGAACCATTTAGCCTCAGGAGTAATTTTACAAAAGCAGACACTAACAATGCACCGGTATTTTGAATGGCCGTTCGCGTCTTCCTTGACTTTGCCGACAGTAGTATTGGCCAAAAACTATAAAAGTAAGGCGAACGCGAAGCTCACTGTCGATGCAGCCATAAGCTAAACATAGCTCAACAGATAAGAGCTAAAAGTCTCAAAAGTACACATGGCCATACATGGATATGTTTCTTCAAAGTCACGACAGTTAGCTCCGGTATAGCTAGACATTGTGAAAAATCGAAATCAGTAATGCAAGCGTTCTTCGTGCAGTTATGAAACCCGGTCTCGTGTTTGACAATTTAGGCAAAAAAAACATTGCCAACTAAGACAAGCGAGACTATAATGACCATTGTTGGCTTATTAGCCGATATCATCCAGCCACGCCGAAACCCAGTGATGTTGCATCATCTGACCTGTGGGTTAGAAGCCCAAAGCCTTAAAAATGTAAACCATGGGCTTTTCATTTTTTCGGTTTCGATGTGATTTATTAACAGTGGACAGTGGAGCGCTAACGGATCAGGTAAAGGGACTCGCTGGTCCCATTGGAGTTCAGTGGGTTTGAACTCCAGGCGTTGCAAAAACCTATGTTTGGGTAAGACTGGCTTAAAACGGCTTATAAGACGGAAATGGCCACTCCAGTCTCCCGCGTTTTGGGGTAATGAATTTCTGCCTATAATATATTTAAAAATAGCAATAACAGCAAAATGATTTATTGGATCCATATAATTTCGAGAGAGCTCTTCAGTTGCTGCCTCTCATTGATTAAAGTGAATCACATGAGAGAAAATACTAATTAAATTCATACAGAAAAATCGATATAAACACAAAGTCATAAGAAGTGGCCAACGTCTGCTAGCAACAGCAGGAGCAACCGCAATCCGATTGAGGAAGCCGGTTTTGAGTGCACAAATGACCTACTGCAAGCTCCGAACTTGGCATGGCCAACGAGTACCTAATTGTCTGCACCGTTCCGCGCTCTGATTGGCTCCCACGTGTAAGGAAAGACAATCTATCGATTTTAAAATTTAAATCTCCCCTGTAACTGTATGGCCTGACGAGAATTTACTGAAAGCGTACGCTCGCCAAAAATTTTGTTCTGAAATAACATAAGAAGCTTAAACGCTTATGTGATTCACGTAAGCAATGAGAGGCAGCAACTGAAGAGCTCTCTCGAAATGATATGGATCCAATAAATCATTTTGCTGTTATTGCTATTTTTAAATTTGCACCTGGGATACGTTGCTCTATAATATATTTGTCATTGAGCAGATGCTGGCGGGGCTTGATAATGAGTCCCAATGCCCAATAGGATGGCTGTGAATCGTAATGCGAGCATCAAGTGCCAAATAATGAGTATTTGAAGACCTGTAAATGTTTTGGTCATCTCGGTCATGGCTAGGATTTTGTGGACCATAACACATTTGACTGAGGTCAGCTCTATGCCAGCTTACGACC